ATCAAATTGTACCAATTCAATCAAATAAAATCTTATATATAATTATTTACAATGTTTTTTTAAATAGAATGCCTATTTAATTTTTTGCATTTTCTCTCTCTACCATCATCATAAATGAAGTGAGAGAGAAAATGCAAGAAATTTAAATAATTTAAAGTGACATAAAAAGAAATAACACATAAGATTAATGTTGCATTTAGATGGGTAGATTTGGATTCACAATTTTATATTTAAAATCTTACATTTAAAATTCATAGATTTTAAATTCTTTATTTGGATGATATAACAAATTTCAAATCCCAATATTAAACTATTTTGTTTAAATTTTAAGTAAAATTGAAAATTGAAAATTTTATGTTTGAATTTAAAGGCATCTCAAATTTCATTGGTCCAATCTCAATCAGACCTCCAGCATCGATTGGGACTGGATAGCCAACTTCAATTGAGACTTGATCACAAATGCTAATCGAGATTGAGCAATTGACTTATATTGGGATCAGACCAAAGGTGTCAAATGGGATTGAATGGCCAACCTCTACAGGGATCAAATGACCTACTTCTACTAGCATCAGATGGTAAACTTTGATTAGGACTAGATGGTTGACTTCTATTAGACTGGACCAGCACATTCGACTGGGAATGAACAACTGGATTTGATTAGGATTGGATGGCTAACTATGACCGAAATAGAATTGTTAGCATTAACTAGGATCAAACCAGCAAATTTGATAAGGACCAAACAACTGTGCTAATTAGGGATGGATAGCTGACATCTATCGAGACCGAACTACCATTGCCAATTGTCAAGTCCTGGTGGAAGTTAGTGGTCCGGTCTTGTCCTTATGAAAATTGGTTGTGCGGTCCCAATCAATGTTGACAATTCGATCTAGATCAAATTTGCTAATCTAGTCTCGATCGGCACTGACAGTCTAGTCTTAGTTGATGCTAGTGGTTCGATCTTAGTGGAAGTTAGTTGTTCGGTCTCAACCAAATTTGCTAGTCTGGTCTTGTTCCAAGATGACACCAACTGTTTGATCTTATTGGAAATTCTCTACCCAATATCAATCGATGTTGGTGATCTGGTGTCAGTAGAAGTTTGTCATTCAGTCCCAATTACCACCAAGCATTTGGTCCTAATTGAAGTTGGTCATTTGGTCTCGGTCAGTGTTGGTGATTTGGTTTTGTTTAGTGCTGGCGATTTAATCCCAATTATCTAGTCCTGATTGAAGTCAGTCATCTAGTCTTGGTTAAAGTCGGTTGTTTAGTCCCAGTCGGCACCAGCAGTCTTGTCTTGGTTGAAGTTGGCTAAAGGCAGCAAAGTCGAAGTTTAAAAGACAACGAAGTCGATAGACAAATGCAATGGAAGAGAGAAACTATTTGATCTAGTCTCGATCGGCACTGACAGTCTAGTCTTAGTTGATGCTAGTGGTTCGATCCTAGTGGAAGTTAGTTGTTCGGTCTCAATCGAATTTGCTAGTCTGGTCTTGTTCCAAGATGACACCAACTGTTTGATCTTGTTGGAAATTCTCTACCCAATATCAATCGGTGTTGGTGATCTGGTGTCAGTAGAAGTTTGTCATTCAGTCCCAATTGCCACCAAGCATTTGGTCCTAATTGAAGTTGGTCATTTGGTCTCAGTCAGTGTTGGTGATTTGGTTTTGTTCAGTGCTGGCGATCCAATCCCAATTATCTAGTCTTGATTGAAGTCAGTCATCTAGTCTTGGTTAAAGTCGGTTGTTTAGTCCCAGTCGGCACCAGCAGTCTTGTCTTGGTTGAAGTTGGCTAAAGGCAGCAAAGTTGAAGTTTAAAAGACAACGAAGTCGATAGACAAATGCAATGGAAGAGAGAAACTTAAATAAAAATTTGAAATATAGGGGTTTAAAAAAGGATTTTAAATTATAAAGAAATTCAGGTAGGATTTGGATTTGAGGCAAATCTAAACATTTTTAATTACCCAAATAATAGATTTGGCCCAAAGTCAAATTCACATGCATCCAAACATAACATAAAAATTTAAATATTTTTATTGTATAGTATAGAAATAACGTGTTGTAGGCCATTTAAGAATTTCCTCACACCTGAGTCATATGATATTTTGTTAGCTCAATTATTACTACTTTTAGTCACCCAAATTAATATCCGCTAGTAATCCTCAGGAATGATATATTCCATGATTTTCAGGTCTATATATATATATATATATATATATATATTCAAATATATTCCGTGCTCCTTTCATGCCTCAGCCATTTGTATTTTGACCAAGTGGCATTACCATATTCCATATATACTAAAATTTCTATGCCTAATTAACATAGATATGATTTTTTATTTTTGTCTTGTGGGACTTATTTTTTATAAGTAAATTTTCAATCATTAAAGCAATTGTTAAAATGTTATCTTCCCCCTTTCAACTTACGTTCTATACTTATTTTTAAAATATTGAATATCAGATTAATTATTAAATCAATCAAGACACTAGTTTAAAAATTAATAATTAAAATTTTAGGCATATTCAAACTGTGATACAACCAATTATTAACAAAGTATTTCATTAACTAAATTAAGATACTAGTTCAACAATTTAATAGTTTTACTAGTTAGATTAACAAACTGAATTTCAACACTATGCTTATTTTGATTTCCCTAATATGAGTTAAGTAAGTAACATTTCAAACAAATAAGACAATTTAGGCATTTAATTATGGCATTCGCTTCTAGTCAAATTAATACGTGTATTTTTTTTATCCATAATTTATCTTTTAACCAATTCTTATTTATGATATTTTAACCCTTTTAATTTAAAATTTATTATCTTAATTTAATTTGAAAATGTACACAGACATATATAAAGCTAATGGTATCCTTATTAAAAAAAAAAAAACAAAAGCTAATAGTATCACAGGGACCATCTTTGATGTGATCAAAACCACCTCTTGATTCAAACAATCAAACTACATGATTTGATGATAGAATAAAAATTCAGGTCAATCCACTTAATTAAACCAATAAATTATTAAATTAGCATCTTGATCATTTTAATAAAATATTTTATTTGTGATTTTGTTTTATTACAATTCAATTACAATTTTGGTTATTTTGAATAAGCTTATTGACAGGTTTAGTTTTTACTACCTTAATTTTGATTAAAAAAAAGATATAGTTCAAATAATTAAATACGTGAAAGTAAAGTAAAAATATATAATTCTTGATGAAAAATATAATTATAACATAAAAATTTAATCAATGAGAAATTAAACTAAAAAAACGGACAATTTAACAAGCAAACATATAAACCAAAAAAAAAAAAAAAAGAAAACTGGATTTGCAAAGTTAATACTAATATTTTACCAATTTATTAAAAACCTGACTAATTATTACTTAGTTAATATACTGATTATAGAGTTAATAGTTAAAATCATAAAGGTAAAGGGGCAAAAATACTTATAAAATGGTTAGCCAGAGGCACTCAATATCCTAAAGTGAGTAAAAGGATAAAAATACCCATAACGTTACATGAGTGGGTGTAAAAGTAATTAAATTATTAACTTTGATCTAATGCCGTTAACTTTAATCTTTAAATGCTGACTGTGTATGCCATATGTCAGTCTTTATTGATGCGGACTAGTAAAGGGACAAAAATACACACGAAGTCGTCGACTAAGAGTAAAAATACCTATAATATTACCAGAGTTGGTGTAAAAATGACTAATTCATCAAATTTCTTAAATGTTGATCATTTAGCTAACACCTAAGCAGAAGTTGATCATTTTTTTATTGATGGAGACAAAAAATATTTCCAGATGAATTTTTATAGATATTGATCGATTATAATATAAGTACCCAGGGGCAAAGTCAGGATTTAAGAATAAGGGGGCCAAAATGAAAAAATATATATATTACAAAATTTTTATAAAATTTAAAAGGGTCAAAAGTATATAATACTCATATATTATAAAGAAAATTTTTAAAATAGGGGGCCACGGCCCCTATTGGTCCCCCCTCTCCCTACCATAGTGAGAACCCATAATGTTACTTTAATAAGTATAATAGTGATCAATTTGTCAAAATTTATGTCACATAATTCTTTCTATCGCCACGTATCTCATCCTCTTTCTTCCTTCCTGCTCTACTCATTTTTTTTTTTGCAAAACTTGAAATTTAACATAGTGAGATGGGTTGTACACAATCAAAGATCAAGACTAAACACACCTCCTATACCACCTTATTTTAAGAACATTGCCAAAACTTTAAGTAATTTTATTCATGATAAAGTCAAAATTTTCAAATAGTTTTTATCATTGTTGCATAGAAACAAGTGATTTAATTTGATATTCGGTCAAAACAATATTTTCTCATATGATATTTATATAATTTTCGATTAACTTTAAGAGAATTTCATTTGGAAATATTTTTTATCCATGCCAGCAAAAAAAGATCAACTTCTACTTAGGTGTCAGTTAAATAGTCAACATTTAAGAGATTTGATAGATTAATCACTTTTGTACCAACTCTGATAACGTTATGAGTATTTTTGCTCCTGGCTGACAATTTAATGGATATCTTTCCTTCTTTATTAATTCACATCAGCAAAGATTGACATGTGGTATGCATAGTCAGTATTTAATAATTAAAGTTAATGGCATTATGTTAAAGTTAACGGTTTAATCAATTTTGCATCCATTTATATAATGTTATGAATATTTTTATCCTTTTCTTCACTTTAAAATACTAGGTGTTCCTAACTGATCATTTTGTAGGTATTTTTACCTTTTTATCCAATCATAATCAAATAAATAAAATATTTTATTGAATTGATCAATTTACTTATTTAATTGTTTATCAATTTAATTGAATGGTGGATCCAAAATAATAATAATAATAACAAGAAGAAGGGATTAGGTTGACTGTGTGGGTATGCAGGATACCTGGTGAAGAAACGTTAATCAAACATGTCTTTTTGTGTGACAATATTTAATGAGAAACGAAGAGCCTTTTTCAGTACTCTCTCTCGCGTACCCAATGCTCAGTTGCTAAGCTCGCTCCGCTTTAACCTCTCTTGCACTCCATAGCTTTCTTGCGCTGCAATTCCCTTTGGTTCTTGCTCTTTTTCTGGTTCTCCTTCTTCACTCTGTTTCGAATCTGTGTATTTCTTCTCGTGACTGAAAGTTTCTTCTTTTAGCCTGGTTGTTTTATCTTTTCCTCATAAATTCTCATTTTGAGATTCAAAATCGCCACTGAATTGTTTTTGACGCATTTTCGCGGCATTTAGTTGTCGTTGTCAGTTTTTTTCTGTGATGATTTGTTGCTTCCTGCACGTTTTCTCTATGGGTTTGTCACAGTAAGCAATTGCTTGATCTGATATGAGTTCGATTTCGCAAATTTTGGTCAGTATCTGCCATGTATGCTTCGGGTTCTTAGTGAAGGAAAGCTAGGTCAGTTAAATTTTTTAGGTTTTGGGAAATTTTGAGTTAAGGGATTTTGGAAGGGGGCATGGTGGGTAAGGACGATGCTCGAAAAATGTTCTGGCGGTCGGCTTCTTGGTCGGCGTCTCGTTCTGCCGGACACAATCCGATTGGCGACAACAAGGACTTCGTAGATCCGGATGGGAGTGTTGGTAATATCAACGGGGAAACTCGTAGGTATCCTCCCGCTCCATTAACCCCTCGATCGCAGCAAAATTGCAAAGCTAGGTCGTTTTTGCCTCCGTTACAGCCGCTTTCGATTGCTCGGAGGAGTTTGGATGAGTGGCCGAAAGCGAGTTCCGATGATATCGGTGAGTGGCCTCATCCCCCAACTCCTAGTGGAAGAGGTAATGGCGAGAGGTTGAAGCTTGATTTATCTTCGATTCAGCGAAACCCTGATAAGAATGCTGGGCTTGTGAAGAGAGATAAGATTGCATACTTTGATAAAGAGTGTTCAAAAGTGGCTGAACATATTTATCTTGGAGGAGACGCTGTTGCTAGAGATAGGGAAATATTGAAGCAAAATGGGATTACTCATATTTTGAACTGTGTGGGCTTTGTTTGTCCTGAGTACTTCAAATCTGATTTTGTATATAGAACGTTGTGGTTGCAGGACAGTCCAACGGAAGATATTACTAGTATTCTTTATGACGTCTTTGACTACTTTGAAGATGTTAGGGAACAAAATGGAAGGGTGTTTGTGCATTGTTGCCAGGGGGTGTCTCGGTCCACCTCTCTGGTGATTGCATATGTTATGTGGAGGGAAGGACAGAGTTTTGATGATGCTTTTCAGTATGTGAAGGCAGCAAGAGGTATTGCTGATCCAAATATGGGTTTTGCCTGCCAATTACTACAGTGTCAAAAAAGGGTCCACGCATTCCCACTTAGCCCAAGCTCTTTGCTGAGAATGTATAGAATTGCCCCACACTCACCTTATGATCCATTGCATCTTGTCCCCAAAATGTTGACGAATCCTTCTCCATCTGCTCTGGATTCTAGAGGTGCATTTATCATACATATACCTTCTGCAATATATGTTTGGATTGGTAACAATTGTGAGGCCATCATGGAAAGGGATGCTAGAGGGGCTGCTTGTCAGATTGTTCGCTATGAGAAAGTGCAAGGTTCTATTTCGTTAATCAAGGAAGGTGAAGAACCGGATTATTTTTGGGAAGCCTTTTCTAAATTTTTGCCCTTGATGGACAAATCTGATAATAGAGTAGAAAATGGCAAATCATCCTTACATATTTCTCCAGGTGAGAGGAGAGTGGAGTCATATAATGTTGATTTTGAAGTTTTCCAGAAAGCTATCATGGGAGGTTTTGTGCCTCCATTTGCTTCAGCAGAGGATGAACTTGAAACCCACCTCCCTGCTAGGGAGAGCTGTTGGAGTGTGTTAAGGCGTAAGTTTGCCTCTGCAAACATGAAGGAATTTGTCTCAGAGCCTAAATTATCATATTCAAGGGTTTATTTGGATTCAGTGTCAGGCACTCATTCATTGATAAGTTCATCTCCATCACACTCACTGTCATCAAGTACATCTTCTTCTTCATCCCCTTATCTCTCACCAGATTCCATTTCGTCTGATTCAAGCAATAGTTCAAAGTGTTCAGAAACATCACTTGATTCTCCTTATGGAGCTTTGACTTCTACGCCAGCATCCTCATCTTTATCTAACTTTTCTAACTTGTCCCTCCTTTCATCTAGTTGTTCTTCTCAACCAGTAACAAAAGGTGCAGTAACTTGTAGTGTCAAGCTGGCATCACAGCCCTGTCATCAGTCAGCCTCTTTGCTATTGAAAAAACCTTCAACTTCTCTTGCTGAGCGCAGAGGAAGTCTGTCAAAGTCTTTAAAGTTACCGCTGATGAATGATAAAACACTGGTGATGAATAGATCATCAACTTTTAATGCTACTCGAGAAGATGGTGCTGTCATGAATGGCAGCGCTAGGCATTTGCATCAATCAGATGGTATAGAAAATTCTTCCGATGTAAACAACCATGTCAAGGGCAGAGGTTTGGATTCAACTCAACAGTCTGAGGTGTTATTATGTTCAGGTGCTGTAGATAGTGTTGACTACAACAAAGCTTCATTTGTTGGAAACTGTAGTTACCCTTGGGTGAGAAGCTCTTCAAGAGAAGACATAAAATCTACTTCTTCAAATGGCATGGATGGAAGTGGTCTACTACAATCTAATAATAAACAAAACTTAGTTTATCAATGGCCCAGCTTAGAGAAGATTGTGACATTCAGTGCAAGTCATTTGGACTCTAAAGCAGCTTTTGTTATTTTTTCTTCAAGTACAAGTTCTGGTAAACATGCAAGAAACATTTTATATTTTTGGCTGGGAAGTTCTTTCAGCTGTGCTACATCTCAGGATCGATTAGACAGTAACAGAGAGATAGATTGTCGAGGAGGAGTTGACTGGAATCAAGTTGGTTGTGATATCCTTGCTCATTTTGGTTTGCCAAATGACACTATCATCAAGGTATGAAATATCTTTACTACATTTCATGCAAGCTGGTTTTGGTTTGCCTAATGTATTCATGTCTATGCAATGACCTAGTTGCCTCTCACGTGGGTAGCCTGTCAAATATGATATAAATGGATTCCTCTGTTATTGTACTTTGTTATAATAGTTAATTTAAATCGTGCATATATGGAATTGAAGATACCCCTGATTGCATTGCTTGTTTCAGGACATCTAGAGGGATGCCTCTTTGTTTATTTCTTGTGGATATTGATTTCCTGTCTCGGTGTTTATGCTGATGTTATTAGTATAATAGTTCACCCTTCATACTTAATAATCCAGAACGTCAGATATTTTAGACAAAAAGAAAATGCGTTTTCTACCTAGGACTAGCTAATCAAATCAATATAATGTTGAAACATTAGTTCCTGGAAGAATTGAAGTATAAGCAAAGGTTACGAGCCTCACATGGTGTTGCTGGCCGTAAAAAAAGTAGTTACTTTGAGCTTTTGCAATATAGAATCAAGTTTTCACAGGTTAGCATGTAGTCAAATTTAATTCGTAATTTCATGCTAATCTTACTGTGCTTGAGGGATGCTGGTGCGGGAGGATAAGTTAAAAAGTAGCTTTTTTTATTTTTTTGGTAAGATGTAGCTGCTGCTTTTTTTTTTTAAATAAAATAAAAAATGCATCCCTTTTTAGGCTTTAATCCATAAAATGATTTTTTTTTAGAGAAACTTAAGAAAATAGATTATTGGGTAAGTGAGAATGCTGCTTTATGTGTGAATTGAATTATAAGCTATTAAGTGTTGGGGGAAAATTGTTTCTCGTACAAGCTGGGAAGGCATCGGTGACTATTTATGGGAAGGTGGAATATGAGGTTCTGTTGCGACTACTTGCTGTAGGATGTTTAGAATGGTTAGATAGGCATGAATTTCCCTTCTTGTCTGTGAACAACTGGCCAACTTGCTCTTTCATTGTCTGTTGCGTGATAAGGTTGTGAATATTTTTGCAATGTGTTGAATTGAGGTAATTTACTTAAATTGGGATGCCCTTGTTCTGTAACCATGATCTTGTTTCATGCTGGTGTGCAAAATTTAATTCATTATAATATGCTAATGTGAATATAAGATTCCTTTACATTTGCTGAATGACGGTAATTTCTTTTAATTCAATATCCTATTTCAGTTTTTTGTTTTTTTGTTTTGGTCATCCTTGATCTAGTTTCATCCTATTTACTAAGTTTGATATTAATAATTAATGTTAATATCATGGACATTTTTGCGTGAGTTTTTCATAAAATTTTCTGAGTATCAGGAGAATCAGTATTTTTGATGTTTTAATTCACATAAAAAATATGGGGAAAGGAAAACAATTTAAAAGGAAATGAGAGAACCTGATTGACGTTTCATATAATTTGATGATTTAAAAAAGGTATAAAAATTTATGGTGCTTCATCAGATCCAAGTGGGTTGAATTTTGATGACAAAATAATTGTGCAGTATGTGTGTGTGTTCCACCTCTTCTCCTCCATTCTGTATACTTTTCGCTGCACATTTTAATTGTGGTTAGAGCCCTAGACAGCATAACTGAGGTTTCTCTCCTCCTTAAAGGCACCAGTAGAACGTATATACTGGAATTTCTCTTTTAATTTACGTTATTGGATTCATATAGTCCTGCAGGTTCTTAAAATTCTAAGATGGTTTTTGATGGACGGACATTTAATTAATCCATGTGATCAGAAACCTATCAGTCATTTTGATGGAACCCAACAAAATAACCCAGCTTAATACAGAAAAAATTAAAGGAACAGCTAACAAAAGCTGAGCGAAATACTAAAGTTTGATATTAATGTAGTCAAAATATTAAGTCAATGTTACAAGAAACTCCACTCCCCTGTTGCAACCCAAAATATTCAGATCAGAAATACAAAACACAGACACAGCACAGCTTTACTAAGCTTGCCCTCTGGCTTTTGAGAGGCCAGTCTCTCCCCACAACCAAATACAAAATGTGACTTGATTTCTGCTAGGAGACTCCAACCACTAATATAAGCCAAAAGTTAACATTCACGGTCTCTAGTACTACCCTCATAAGCATAGCCCAGACCTATACACCCTTACAGCAACTGTAATTGCTTGTTTCTTTCTCCTTAACGTTAGGAGTCTCAAGGTCAATGCCCTGATCATCAAAAAGTTGCTTTCCCTTTTCTTGAATCTTCCTAAGTTTCCTCTCATAGGCCATTGCAGCAAAAGTGGCTTTATCACATTTAAAACTTAATATTTGGATTATGTATCCATCCTAAATAACATAGGGACGTTTCATGTTGATTTATAATACTTTTCAAGCTCGACTTTTTGCATAAATTGGTTCCATTCACTTGGAAAGTCAGGGTACCTGGAACAAGTGTTTTCTTTGTTCTTAAGCTCCCACTCAGATATTGTGATTAAACTTGAAAGTTGAGATCACAGAAATTTCTTCATTCAATATTCCTGATGATCAAACCATACTAACTTCAAGCTCATAGTAGGGCATAATGACTTTCATAACCAATCTTGTTAGCAAGTTATTTCCTACTTCTCACTGTCTTACCTTTTTAAATTTTATTATTACACTGGGTGTGTATAGTCTTTTGCATACCATTTTAAGAGTTGTCCACAATGGGTTTGCAAATCTCTAACTAAACATCTGATGCAGTGTTAGATCGTCTTGTTTACCACAAGTTATTTTCCTTTCATCTTAAAGATGTCTTAATCACACAGCTCTCCGTATAATAGTAACCTTCTTTCTGAAAACTAGAAGGTCTAGCTTGAGCTAAACTCGTTTTGATCAAAATTCCCTCAGCAATAGTATTATTATTGTTGTTGAGAAAAATGTAACTTGCCAATGATCTGGTTATTCTAAGGACTTAAGATGTTGTGTTAAAATGGATTTAGTTGTAGCTTCTATTTTGTTTTCATGGAAGGCACATATAACATTGTAATTACGTCATCTTCTAGGGGAGGGCAGAGTAATTTAAGATGAGCTTTTTTTACCTTAAAATTTTATGTTGGCCTGTATTTCAGATACGGGCTATTTACAAAACAACAGTGATGGTGATTACTTCAAAAAATGTTAAAAAAGCAAGTTTGTTGTCATTAATTGGTTGTAGAGGTGGGAATCAGGGCTAAAGCTCGATTACCCAAAATTTGACCTAATTCTGAGGCTCCGTCCTTTTTTATAGGGTTCAGGGCTGGGCCCTTAAGCCCTCTTTTCTCAAAAAAGTAAAAAATAAAAAATCCAACATTTTAATTCAAACAGAATATTCTAAAATTCAATATAAAACAAATTGAAGTTTCACATAAAATTCGACAGATTTAAAATTTTAAATTTAAGACGATGATTAAAATCTTCATCAAGGTAAATCCAAATGCTCTTCATCATTATCTAAAAGTAAAATATTAGATCTTTTAAATGTAAGTCCACTTGTTGAAGATGAAGGTGGAGATTTAATGACAATTTTCGCTGCAATTTCTTCTTCATTATCAACAATAAATATTAACCAAATTCTATCATTATCAGTCAAATATATGTATGTATGTGTGTGTGTGCACACACACACACACAAGATCACCTGGCTTATTAGGGCTAAGGGCTGCCCAGGCTCGAGCCTTTTTTCACAATGCTTATCAAGGGCAAGCCCTTAAACCTGATTACTTAAAAAAAAAAAAAATTTTAAAGCTCAAACCCTTATTTAAGCAGGGACTCCAGGCCCGACCTTTTAGGCCCGGTTCTTATTCCTGGCTCTATTTGGTTATATAGGTCGTATTTTAGCAATGTTAGTTAGGAATTTTATTTGTCAAGTCAAGACAATTGGACAAGGTCTGTTGATCTTCTTAGTATAATCTGCAATGCACAGAATTCTCTCAAGTTTCTTATTAAAACTTGATTTTCCAGAACTTTCCTGTTTACCTAGATTTTGCTCTTTATGTTTGATTGTTACTGGATACACAATCCAAGAAGGATGCCCAACCCTTCTTTCCATTAGCGCTTGTTGAACTGTTGTCTTTTCTCTTTGCACTTGTTTTCTGTCATAAGATTGAATTGAGCAAAATGTGGATTGCGGATTTTTCTGACTTACTAAATTCTGGTGTTGATCATTGAATCCTTGCTCTGAACAGATTGTTAAAGAGAGCGAAGAACCAGAAGAGTTTCTTGCCTTACTGAGTACCTTGTAGCGCCAATAAAATTAGGAGATCCCTGTTTTCAAGCAGCTTCTGTAACCTTTCTTGAATTTGCACTGTCTCTGCGGACCAACTTTTCAGGCATTAGTTCATCTAACCTCGGAAAAATAGCAGAGGTAATGAACCACATTTAATGTTATTTTTTGGCCAAATGTTAACGTGCCTCATTCAAAACGAATATCCTTTCTGATAATGTTTGGCTAGTTTATCTCAATGAAAGTATCTTGGTATGCTTTTAAGTTTAGTACTTTTTTTTTTTTTTTTTTTGATATTATGATATATGATACACCCTTCAAACCAAAATGTAGGGCATTGGTAACTAATTCATGGTTTTCAAAAAAATGTTAGTTGAAACCTTAATTTTTTAGAAGAATTTACATCTTTCTAATTTTACTCATTAAATACCTTGTATAAGTGCTTTGATAATGATAATTAAAATTGCAATGTATCATTTTTCTCAAAAAGAGTAATAAATAAAGTAGGAGTATAGTTAAAAAATAATTATAAAGGTTACCCGATGTTTTATATTTTGGATTAAGCAAAGCATCTAAAAGATATCTTATATTGTTTTCTTGAGGCAGCAATGAAAAGTAATGAAATAAATCTAAGCTACAGGGCATCGTTTTTCTCGATTAACCTTTCCAAGTTGGTATCTGGTGTCATGGAAAGTATGAGGGATTGGTAAATTTTTCTGCATGAAAATGACACTTGTGGAAATTAGCTCAGAAATTTCATGCATCTGTGAATTGTCAAGTTTTGTTAATTTGGATTTTTCAATCACTAAACATGTCTTAGAAATCACATCAAGTCCCCATTCAAAAGGCATTATATGAATATAAAGTTATACCATTGCCATATCCATCACAGATCATATTGTTTCAAAAGTACGGATTTTTTTAGCTATTGAAGACCGTACATGAATGGATGTTTAATAAGAACGTTATGTAAGTTATGCCCTTTTCCCTTTCACCTCATCCTTTGTGACCTGGATTTCATTCTTAAAACTGGCCTTTTGTTGTATGTTTGCTTGCAGGGACGCTGTGGAATTCACCGTAGCTCAGCTGATTTGTACAGTGCTTTAACACTCAATCTCAAATTTTATGTTTTAGACTGAAATTACTTGAACATTCACCTGTTATCAAAATGCCTTCAGATTCTATAATTGAAAAAAAAAAAATTATTCTCAGGACACCACATCCTTTCCCTCGATCACATTGTATGTAGAACACTAGAAAGTTCATTAATCATTAGGGTGTACTAGTTCCTTATTTCTGAATTGAGCCTCTCAGATCAAAGAAAAACTGGATGGTATCAGTACTTGCTTTGTACGAAAGTAATATCTTTGTTCAACATAGCACTTGAAATACTACTGTAAGGTATTTTACTTTGAATTATGTTTCCCTATGAATTAGTTAATTATCTTCAGAATTATAATTTTTTCATATTTATTCTTTTTTAACTAAGCGATTAGTTACAAAATCTTATTAATTATACCCCTAATTGAGGGTATTTTTTAAAAAATTATTAATTGCATCTTAAAATGTTTTATGGTTTTTGACATTATGTTTTTTTTTAAAAGAAAAAAGCCTTATGATATTGTATGGAGTAGTATTTAGAGAACATGAAGTCAGTTGTCCTAATTCAATGGACTCTGGTGGAGAAAGCTATTTTATTTATTTATTTATTTACTTTTTAATTAGATATTTTTGGACCAATTACTTTTTAATTAGATGAAGAAAGCTATTTTAATTTGGGCCTAACGTTTATTTACTGTAAAAGCCTTGTGACGTGGGATTTGGACTTTTGGGGTACATAAAACCAAGGTTAAAAAAAATAAAAAAAAAAAGGATTTGGACTGTTTTGTGAGGATAGAAATACACCGTATTAATGTCTGGAGGAAAAAGTCAAAAGAAGAGGAGGGGAAACGTGGAACGCTAAATCTAGTAGCCTGTGGGATTTGACCAAAAACTTTAAAGCCATGTTTGGAAATTTTTTTGATGAAATTAGAATGGAAGTGGAAAGGTGTGGTTGGCTTGAAGATAAACTTTTTGTATAATTTTAATATATATATATATATATATATGTAAGTAAAATAAGAAAGGACAAAAACGTTCTTATCAACAATGATGAAAGAGAAAAAATGAGGGCAATGATGAGAATTCAAGGCATTTTGGTTGAATTTAAATTCTCAATGTATACCAAAGAACTCAATATGTAGATTCTAGCTTCAATTTCATTTCACGTCTTATGCCAAACATGACCTAAAGCTCAGTAGAAAAGACACATGATCTCAATTTCTCTCTCTCTCTCTCACTTACACGTAAGAGAAAGAAAGCTATATGATCTGAAATCACTTTTTCAATCCAAACATAAATCAATTAGTTAAAAAGGGAGAAAAAAATGCTATCAACTTTGCGGTGACGACGCAGTGATATAGCATGGCCATGATTTTCCCGAAGGAGGTGAAATTACAAAAAAGGACTATATGATGAAATTGATTCCAAATAAGGCCATGTGTCTGTTCTAAAGTGGAACAATTTTTATAATTTCACTTCTAAATTTGACTGTATGTTTCAAAAGTGAACAGCTAAAAATCCTCAAGCTTTTTTGAGCCCAAAAGTGTTTCTTTCAAAATCAGCCAACAATTTGGAGGGTGCAAAATTGAAAATTTGCAATTTTTTTAATTTAAATTTGTTGGAAAAGAAATACTCTCTCTAATTCTATTTATAAGGTACATTCTAAAATGTATATTTAGTCTTATTTATAAGTTATGCTGTGATTTTTTAAATAATATTTAAAAAATATTTTTAAAATTATTTTTTATGAGAGAGAAAAAACAACATAATTTTATTTTTTAAATTTATTATATAGGAGTATATTTATAATTTTATACACTGTTATTTTTTTTATTTTGTTATATTAATATGGATGAGATTGGTAGAAAGTAATGTTGGTAGCCTTATACCATATCAATAAGCCTTAGAAAAAAGCTTCTTTAAAACAGTTATATTTAATTATATCCAATAATGTTTAAGTCTGACAAATAGTAAAAAACAATTACTACTGTTTTTGGAAAATGACTGCTCTTCTTGAAAAAATAACTAGAAAGGAATAATAAATTACAAGATATCACGTACAAACTTTTTATCAACGAAGGCTAAATAGTAGTTCTTTTTTTCCATGAAAACTAAAAATTAGTTACTAATCATTGTCAGGAGAAATACCTACGTTTAATATCCTACCGTATCTTAAACAAAATTTACTTTCAATAAAAAAAGGATACTTGTAATTAATAAAAGAATTTAGAAAATAAAATTTTTTCCTTGAAAAAAAATGACTAAAACGAAATAATAAATTATAAGTTACTTTGTACAAGTTAGTTGTGATCTTATTTTTCTCTCGTCAAATTATATCTTGCAAACCAAAATTTCTCTGACCCTACGTAAGGTCTTTTCCTTTCTCTCTTTTCTTTTTGATAAGCTACGTGAGGTCCTTTATTTGTAATATTCTTTCTTTATGCTTCTCTTAATACAAATTGATTGATATTAAATAAAAAAATAGTGTATCAAAAAAGTAAAAAAAAAAAAATCAAACAATATAGAGATCTATGATTATTATCCAAGCACCATATTCTAATTTTTTACCAGATTATTAATTAAGCCATAAGTGATTGGTCACATTATTTTTTCTAAGCTGCATCGTGGCTTTCAAGAACTCAATAATTAAAATCAACATTTTCAATGCCCTCCTAGCCTATATACAGGTGGGAATTTAATGCACTGATTCAACCCTTCATATCAAAATTCAAATATATATGCCATTTATTACTTTCACTCCGTAAATTGTTATTCTCTCAATTCATATAACCTGACTCTATATATATATATATATATATATTTATATATTATATATATCTACATATACACCCTCTTTATATGGTATCTGTACATACTCTACACCAGCAGAATTTGCTGAGTTCATTTCAGTTCCAGCGACAAAATGGTATCATCATCGTCATCTTCAACCAAACTGAGCCTGAAACTACTTATCGATCCAGAGAACGAAAGAGTTCTGTTCGCCGAAGCATCAAAAAACTTCGTGGACTTCCTTTTGAACTTGCTTCGTTTGCCCATTGGCACAGTCACAAGCCTTCTAACCAAGGACGACATGGTGGGCTGCGTTGGCAATCTCTATGAAAGTGTCGAGAATCTCTGTGTTGATTACTGGTTGAACCCAATTCATGAGAAGGACGCTTTGTTTAAACCAAACGCATCGTTAATCTCTGGAAATCTTCTTCTCCAGCAGCAAATCATGGCAATTATAATGGCGGATCAGTGACTCCGCCGTACAGTACTCCAACTGGCTAATTCTTCTATGGAACACAGAGCTTTGCTACAGTAGCGAAGAAAACTTGTCGTGAGTGAGGGTGGGTTTGTGAAACAAGTTGTGACTTACTCTGTAATGGATGATCTTGAAGTTCATCCCATGTCTCATTTTTCAACTATCACTTTGCTGTCAAAGTTCAACGTCAAAGATATTGCTTCCTTACAAGAAAGGATCGTTGAGTTAGGCATGGAACAGGTAGATCAATTTAAATAGAGAGAAACACCAACACGCACACGCTCTTTTCTTTTCTTTTTAAACATAAGGCTACAATAAAAATTATGTAAGGAGACCAACAATAGATTATGTCTAAAGCTATAAGGCTTTCACAATATGAAGGTGGACTGTCAAACAAGTAATATTAACATTTTTGCTCGAAGTCTTGTGAACTAGAAGATCGGTGTATCTATTAGTTTTTATGTAGATATGGTTGATATCCCAATTCCTCATGGTGAGATTTTTAATGTTCTTAATAATTGCTGAAAGAGGGTAGTTGTGAGCAGAGTTGCATTTAATGAGAGACAGAGCCTTCATAGAATTTGAGCAAACATTAACTTTGAAAATCTTAGCATTCTATCAAAGGTGTAATCCTTTTAATATTCCTATAAGTTCAATTGTTGTACTGGGTTGATAGCTAAACTTTTTGAAAAAAGTCCTCAATCTAGTTATTTTTGTCATCTTTAATAAGGCTTCCACAAATAGTTACACCATTAAGGTTGATCGAACCGTCAACGTCAAGTCTAGCCTACCTAGAATTTGGCAGATTTCATCTAACTTCATGTCTGGTGTCGATTTTGTTTAAAAGCTCGAGTTTGGATTGAAATTTTAGGTCGTTGATAAGTTGTTGAGAGCAAGGAGAAGGCAATGTCTTTATCCAGGATAATATCTTCAGAGTACACTTTCATGCCTCTAGCTTTTCATATGATCTAGCAGGCATAGGAAAAAAGTTTCTGTCAGCGCAATCTTCTTGTAGACAAGTTGTCTGCTTCATTTTTAGCATTCTAAATTATCCAATCCTATATAAAAAGAGAAAAAAAGATATTATACTTTGTAGGGTTGGCTACTTTTTCCCAAAGATCCTTAGCATCCTTATAGTCTCATAAGACTTTCATACTTTTGAATATATTTGAGTATATATATTTCTTTATAGAAACTGGAATATGCATGCATAGATTTGTTTTTCTTTTAATTCATTTGTCTAGAGATCCTTTTGATCTTATTTACTTTGGATTTGTTTTCTATTGTGTTTTGGCTTTTTCTAGGTGGGGGTATCAAACTTCTGAAATCTGCTCTGCAGTGCATGAATGTTTTGACTAGCGTTTTCCTCATGGATGTGGAACTTTAACAGTTGAAATGTGTCGAGACTTCAATTAATTATTAGTTCCTTTCGATTTTTTTAATAGATGGACTAATTTCTTTTTCGTTATGCGAATGCCCATGTTTTGTTTTCATATGGCTATGAAATATATGAAGTTAATTTCCTTGTTCATCGTCGGCACTGAGAAATTGTCTTGGTCTTCATAATTCATAAACCCAAAGCATAAAATTGAAAGAGCCACAGTGCCAATGTTTACGAAGAGCCACAGGCCTCCATCATTACTCAGACCATTTCAGAGCTTGCCCTAGGTCAATGTTTTAACCTATTATGCAAATATGATCATGTTTGCCAAGGGTTCTAATAACTTCACCAAGCTGATTATCAGTCAAATAACATCTTCGCAAGTTACATATGTTAGAAATTATGCTCTAAGACTAATTATTATACTATGCATATTGTTATTTAATGAATTTCTCTTTTGTTATCATATCAATTGCATGTTCACTATGATAACTGTATCTTTGGACAAATTATAGTAATTGTCCTAAATATTCCTAATCGGTCATCTATGAGGGATCATAGATGAAACAAGACTAGTATAACTTTAATTAGTTATGGAGATACAAATTAAAGTCATAGGCACTTAAAAGAGTACAAGATGCTGAACCTATCCGCTATGAGAAAGCTACATGA